CCCCTTATCCTCACATAAACTGAGTATTGTCATTTTTTCCCTTTAAGTTTCCAGTTTGAGATTTTTATCAATATCCCTGCTTACTATCATTTGAGTATCTTACTGAGTGAGTTTGAGTATCTTTTCTTGTTTTATCAATTTTTTGTAAAATTTTCCTTTTGGTCATTTATTCTCTTTTTGCATTTCTCCATTGCTTATTAAGCTGTGTGGACCTTTTTCTTATTTGGCTTCTAAGTTCTTTATTATAAATATCCTGGGTTTTTTTTTTTTATCTTTCAACTTTGTGCTTTTTATTATGTTACTGTTTTTTGATTTTTTGATTTTCAATCTTGTTCAAGAATTTTTTGAAATTTTTATTTGATCAAAATTTCCTTTATGAGTTCTGGGTTGTTTCCTTACATGGGATAACTGAAAGTTCTTCCCCACTTCAAAATTATTAGAATGTTCTCTCATATTTTCTTTTAATGCTCTTACCAGTTTATTTTTCTCCCATTTAGAATCTTTAACCTGTTTGGAGTGTTTTTGGTATAAGGAGTGATATATATATATATATATGATATATGTGTATATATATCACTACCTTCCTGTTTTTCACATTCTGTTCTGCCTTTTAAACTTGACTGATAAAAATCAAGGTACATTGAACATCCTGAATCGTGGCAAGAAGTGAGATGTGCTGTATGGTTTTCAGTTTACTAATGTGTCTTGGGTATTTGTGAGCAGAATCGGAGGCTCAGAGGGGGAAAGAGTGGATTGGGAAGAAGTTGACAGTCTCATGTCTGGGTTACCTTGTATGTACGTGCGTGAAATAGAATTAAAGAGAGGATACAAGCAAAATGTCTCTTAGAAGTTCTGTGTTTCACTTCTTTTAATGACCCTGAGTTCTTTATCAAGGGAAGTGGAGCTGTGGTAAGAAGACATAAGACACCAGCTAACGTGAGGACCTAGAGGGTTTGCATCTTGAATACCAAGTGCCCTTCATGATAAATCCATGAACTTTATGAATTCTATGAACTGGTGGGGTTTTCTTTAACTATTTTTTCAGCACATGTTTCACTTTAGAAAGAAATTGGAATAGGGAACAAGATTCCCTTTCCTTCTCTGACCTCTGATCCCCTGACCCATAAGTAAATGCTTGTTAAGCTTCTTGTATATCTTACAGAAATTGCAAGCATTATTTTGACTGCTACTTGCTATCAAATGCTCAGTTGGTGAAATTGAAGGTCTTTCACTCAGAAGAGAAAAACCAGGAAAGAAGGTAAGAAATAGAAATCTGTTTATGGCTTTGAAACATACATTTCTTCAAGTTAAGAACAATTCATCAAGATAATTTCTTTAGGACAGTCCCTTTCAACAATAAAAATCAGTTTAATGAACATAAACAGGAAGAAACAGATGCCAAGGGTGGAATATGGCTCGTGATGACAGCTTCTGTTTGTTGTATACCTGACACTGGCCAGATGCTTTGCACACACTGTCACTAATTCACACCATATTGACATCTTCAGTGCAGAGATGAAGAAACTGAGGCTTCCAGAGAGAAATAACATGCCCCGAGCTTGCCCTGGTTGGTAAAGAACAGAGTTGGATTTGGACTCTAGTCTTCACCTTTGGAGCCACCTGTGTTGTGGGTAACCTGAAGTCTGTTCCAGCCAGGCCTGAAAGACCTTCCCCCCACTTTTGAAATAGACCATTCCTTATCTTTTTTCTGCTATTTTGTTCATAGGCCCATAAGCAATAGATGTAATAACACAGACACAATTTCACATTTGTGAACTATGGCTTGTAGAATGCATATAGGATAACTTTTATAGTAATATTTGCTGTTTTGAATTCTTTGCATTATTGAAGAGTCTCTGGGCCTCCATTTCTGTGTGTGCATTACTCAGGATCCTTCTATTTGTCCGTAATTTGTTATAATTTGTTGACTCATTAGAATGAGATGTAAAACTGACATTTGATAATGGTTGTAATTAATGTACAGGCATCAGTGGCTGAGATTAGATGGTGCTTGCCCCCTAGGGTTATGCTGTGTCTAGTGGGCAGGTGAGGGGATAAAGCAAGAAGATATTAATTTCTTCCATAATTCTCATTCAAGGTCTGTTCTGTTTCAGGTTTCTCTGGGAACTGGCTGGGTAAGATATTAATGGGGAGAAGGAAGGATGGGGTGGGATGGGCAGACCTATATTTTATCCTTATACAAATAGAAATGTCGTATCAAACATCATGTTCGTTGCACTTCTTCTGTAGGTCTGTCTCCTCTGTCTTGTACTTTGTTGTTGTTCAATTGTTAAGTCATGTCTGACTCTTTGCTCATGGACTGCAGCACACCAGGCTCCTCTCTCTTCCTTCATTATCTTCCAGAGTTTGCTCAAACTCATGTCCACTGAGTCAGTGATGCTGTCGAACCATCCTATCCTCTGCCACCCTCTTTTCCTTTCACCTTCAAACTTTCTCAGCATCAGGGTCTTTTCCAGTGAGTCAGCTCTTAGCATCAGGTGGCCAAAGTATTGGAGTTTCAGCTTCAGCATCAGTCCTTCCAATGAATATTCAGGGTTGATTTCCTTTGAGATTGACTGGCCTGATGTCCTTGCAGTCCAGGGAACTCTGAAGAGTCTTCTCCAGCCCCCACAATTCCAAAGCATCAATTCTTCAGCACTCAGCCTTTTTTATGGGCCAACTCTCATAACCATACATGACCACTGGAAAAACCATAGCTTGGACTATACAGACCTTTGTTGGCAAAGTGGTGTCTCTGCTTTTTAATATGGTGTCTAGGTTTGTTATAGTTTTCCCTCCAATGAGCAAGTGTTTCTTAATTTCATGGCTTCAGTCACCATCCGCAGTGATTTTGGAACCCAAGAAAATAAAATCTGTCACTGCTTCTGCTTTTTCCCCTTCTATTTACTGTGAAGTGATGGGACCAGATGCCATGATCTTCGGTTTTTTTCATGTTGAGTTTTAAGCAACTATTTTGGCGCTTGTGAAAAGAAGAACATCCTTTGCCAATAAGGCCATAGGATATAAGTGGAAAGGCAGGGCACATAAACAAACATGAAACCAAACTAGAGAGTTTGCTGAAGCATTCCACTGTACTATATGACTTAAAATATAAAAAACATTAGAGATAGGAAAGATTATTGTGGCCAGAAGTAGTCAGGGCAGCTAAGATATGGCCAGATGGAAAGGAGAAGGAGTCTTGAGATCCTGTCATTTTTATATATATTAAGAGACTGGAAGAGGGGCTTCCCTGATAGCTCAGTTGATAAAGAATCCACCTGCAATGCAGGAGACCCCGATTGGATTCCTGGGTTGGGAAGATCCTCTGGAGAAGGGATAGGCTACCCGCTCCAGTATTCTTGGGCTTCCCTTGTGGCTCAGGTGGTAAAGAATCCACCTGCAATGCTCAAGACCTGGGTTCAATCCCTGGGTTGGGAAGATCCCCTGGTGAAGGAAAAGACTACCCACTCCAGTATTCTGGCCTGGAGAATTCCATGGACTGTATAGTCCGTGGAGTCGCAAAGAGTCGGACACAACTGAGCGACTTGCACTTTCACTTTCGAGAGACAGAAGAACTGTGTGTCCAAAGACCTAAGATAAACCCAAGGGTAGAACCCTTGGTAAACCAGTCTTTCTAAGTAATCACATTAATGTATGTCCTCCATGGCAAATTCTGGGTTCCCAGGAGCCCTTCCCCCAGATAATTGTAGGTGAAAGGTCATCATCAAGAAGCTTCCTCAGCCTGCCCTTTGTGTTAGGTGATCTGTCTTACCCTGAAGTCCCTTGGCACTTGCCGTAAACAGTTTGTACTCCATCATTGTGACATGTTTATGTGTTGTCTTGGAATCTGTTCTCCTCCCATTCCTTCTTCCTTTGGCCTCCTTCGTGCCTGGGGCAGTCTGCGGATGTAGAAGGTCTAATAACAGTGCATGAATGCCTTTGGACTGAGGCCCATGATCTTGGCACCAGGAAAGCCCTGTGGGGTCCCGAATTGTAAACCAACCTCATGCTTGAGATCCAAAACAGAGCTGAGCTTGAGATGTGAATGCCCCATGTCTCCTAACTCCATTTTCTTGTCTCAGATGGAATTTCTGTGTTTAAGAGTTCTAGGAGATTCCATCTGTTCAGGATTTCTGAACAGATTAGAATGGGAAACACATGAAAACTCATACTACAGACAGACCTTTAATTTAAGCACTTGCTGTCCAGACTGATCATTGAGTTAGATCAAGTGAGTTAGAAAGGGGGCGGGGGTGGTATATGAGGCAAGAAAAAGCTATTTCATAGCCTTGTGCATTTAAAAACCCCAGAGATGGTTATTCTGTTTATGTTTAGAAGACTCACCTTTCAGGGGAAGTATCTCCACTTTATCTCATCCCATATCAAGCAGGTCACCAAGAATAATTGTAGCCCTTTTCTTACTCTAGATTTGCTAGAATCATGTCAGATCCCACAGCTAAGAAAGACCTTTGGTCTGTCTGAAAGACCCTTGGACATGTCACTGATAATATCTCTTCACATTAATGGTTTTGTTGCTGATAATTTCTTTGCAGTAATGATTTTATCCTGGATATCCAGAGGGACAGAAAGAGATGAGTAATGGAGGAGTGGAGTTACAAAATAAATCTACAGTAAAAATAAAACAAATCGCTTCTCTACTGTTATAAAAAAGAAGAATTATTTCAACAGTTATTTATGTCAAGCAGGAAGTATTAATTTTCCCCAAATAATTAAGAATATGTTTTTAACATTGGTCTTGATATAAAATGCTGAAATATACTTTTGGTTGTGGATTTCCATTTGCTTATAGTTAAATGAAGTTAAGTAGACTCAGGTCAGGGTATTTGGTTTTGCTTCGATGCGTTTGTTTTCCCAATTCTTTTTCTTTTAAGGAGGTGATCAGGTATCATTTAAAAATATGTTTCAGGTGATGGCATACTAAGCAGATCTTTGATAAATCTTCCAGAACCCGAGGCTTGCATGCTTCTGAGCTTCTGTGAATGGCCCCGGCACTCCTGACCACTCTTCCGGCTAGGATGTCACTTAGATCCCTGAAATGGAGCCTCCTCCTGCTATCGCTGCTGAGTTTCCTGGTGATGTGGTACCTCAGTCTGCCGCACTACAATGTGATAGAACGTGTGAACTGGATGTACTTCTACGAGTATGAGCCCATTTACAGACAAGACTTCCGCTTCACACTGCGAGAGCATTCAAATTGCTCTCATCAGAACCCATTTCTTGTCATCCTGGTGACCTCACACCCCTCAGATGTGAAAGCCAGGCAGGCCATTAGAGTTACCTGGGGTGAAAAGAAGTCTTGGTGGGGCTATGAAGTTCTTACATTTTTCTTATTAGGCCAACAGGCTGAAAAGGAAGACAAAGGGTTAGCTTTATCCTTAGAGGATGAACACCTCCTTTATGGGGACATAATACGACAGGATTTTTTAGACACATACAATAATCTGACCTTGAAAACCATAATGGCATTTAGGTGGGTAACTGAATTTTGCCCCAATGCCAGGTATATCATGAAGACAGACACTGATGTTTTCGTCAATACTGGCAATTTAGTGAAGTATCTTTTAAATTTAAACCACTCAGAGAAGTTTTTCACAGGTTATCCTCTAATTGATAATTATTCCTATAGAGGATTTTACCAAAAAACCCATATTTCATACCAGGAATATCCCTTCAAGGTGTTCCCGCCTTACTGCAGTGGGTTGGGTTATATAATGTCCAGAGATTTGGTGCCGAGAATCTATGAAATGATGAGTCACGTAAAACCCATCAAGTTTGAAGATGTTTATGTTGGGATCTGTTTGAATTTATTAAAAGTGGACATTCATATTCCAGAAGACACCAACCTTTTCTTTTTATATAGGATCCACTTGGATGTCTGTCAGCTCAGACGTGTGATTGCAGCCCATGGCTTTTCTTCCAAGGAAATCATCACATTTTGGCAGGTTATGCTAAGGAACACCACGTGTCATTATTAATTTGACATTCTACCCAAGCCTAGAGAAGGGAGGGATACTTTGTAGAAAGTGTTAACGTTAGACTATGAAATCACCAATGAAAAACCCATGAGATGGTCACTGTGTGGCTTACACAAAGCTAAAACTCGTGTAGAGCCTATAGACTGGAGACTGTAGGGTTGCACTTGGCCTGTGGTTTATTATGACAACAATCAAGTCAAGCCTTTTAAAAGTGATATTCAGAGGAATTAAAATCTTATAAAGGAATGGGAAGTTTTTTTTTTAATAAAACTAATAGGGCCAAACAGTTTGAACATGTCATTCTATAGACTAGAGGTTCTTAAATGGGTTTCATTGAATTATAAGCTCATTTATCCATAACAACAAAACAGTGTGCAGTATTATTCATGAGGCATCTAGTCAGTTCAGGGTTTTGTGTATATCTTCATGGATTACTAGTTTTTTTTAAATATACAGTTCTGTATAAAAGAAACTGAAGTTATTTCTGAACAAAGTTTAATCTGTTTTTGGTCTGGAAGATATTTCAAGATGCTGCAGTATTAAAGAGTTAATTATTATTTAATAATACTTAGAGTTTTACACTTTATGGATGTTTGAATGTTTTGGTTTCAATACTGCATAAACAGAATAAACTTTTTTTCCAGTTACTTCAGTGATGAATTTATGGTGAATAGCTCCGTTAATGTGTTGTCATTATTGTATATCAGTAATCTCTTGGACTTTGATAAATACTTCATCGTGGTAATGTAGAGAAGAATTAAAGCAAGAATATCAAAATTATTGTCTTGTTTTTAAAAACATAATCCCTGGTATTTTTAGATGCCACTTCATTTGTCTCATTTTTCTGCCTGGAAATTTGGAGTAATACAGAATGCCAGGTATCATGTTTCCTTTCAGAAAGGACTCTGAAGCCAAAAAAGAACGAACGAATGTGATGGCCAGAATATCATGAAAAGGAGTATCGTATTTCAGTGCTTGAGTTGGAAAGAGAAGACTAATTGAGTTGCCGTTAACTGTTCCATGTTTTTTTCATTAACAATCAGTTTGAGAATAAAACAGAATAAAGAAAAAACACTGTTGCTGTTGTTACTAGTTTCACATCCAGAGGAAAGCCCGACTGTGTTCTAAAATCAAGTCTGATTTCCATGTCGTAGAGAAACACATTATTTCATAGGAGTGGTGACGTAGGTCACCTTTGACCTACTAGTTGGTCCAAGAAGAGCACTCCTTGCCCCCGTATTCTTGGGGCTGTGCGCTTTCCCATTATGCCTGATATGGGAAAAGTGACTCTTTTTCTCTGGATTACATGACGGCAAAAGATCAAATCTGTTGGGAGAAAATATAAACTTGAAAGTATATAGTCAGCTCTTAGAACACTCATACATTTGTAATTTTCCTGTAAAAAAGCTTAGTTTGAATTAGAAGTGTTATAACGTGTGATTCCTTATAACAAGGCTGTTTCCATTTCCCTCATCTCAGACCTGATCCAGTCACAATAAAATCATAAAATAAATTAAATATTCTGTGGAATCAATCCATGCCCTTACTAATTCCCACCCATCTGGGAGTCACTTTCTCTAAGACACAGGTGGTGGTTTTTTTGTAGTAGGATTAGATTTGATTGAATTTGTGTTGTTTATATTCATGTTTGGGAAGCTAACTCAAAGAAGTTTTAAAGAGAACTTGTGAAATAAAAGATAGTGTCCCTTCACTTTTAAGACTAAAAAAAGAAGTAAAATGTGAATAATTGCTAAGTTTTAGAAGATTTTTTCCTTTTCAACAACAGATTGGTGCTTAAGAGATCTCTAAAGAATTAAATGATTATGAAAAACATTAAGAGGTCAGGTCATTTTATTTTTTTAACTTCATATTTGTTTCCAAGTAGTATTAATCAGCTGTATTATTAAAATCTTGGCCTCTGATGTTTAACCACATCAGCACTTTTTATTTTAACTGATAACAAAGTTCAATACAGGAGCCTAACCTCAGGCTGCTTCTCTTCTACCATCCACAGCCCTGCCATCCCCGTGGTCGTACATACTCTCTGTCTCACTCATTTATTTGCCCCGTAAGCATTGAGTCTGGGACCCAAGCATGTTAACTTCTGCCAGATTATGCTGCAAGAACAGATCCCAGAAGTCGTTAACAACCGTGTGTTCTTTTCACCCATTCCGCATGCCTCTGGTTACTTTGGCATGCCATCCTGGTTACTGTTATGTGTCTTCTCACCTCAGGGTCTGGTTGAAGGACAGCCCTTGTCTGGACCTTGTCATCCTTATCAAGGGAAGGGGAAAGAGCTGGTGGGAACACTGGCATCTATATCCACTAACCAAAGCAAATATCATGCCAAGGCCAGTGTCACCGGTGACTGGGGATGGGGGGATTTGGTCTCACTGGAAATAGTCCAAGTCATGTTTTGGCAGCCAGGAGTATTTTGTTCTTTTACAGGATGGGGAAGGGAATAGTTGGGTCCAATAATCTGCTTCCCTGGTGGCTCAGATGATAAAGAATCTGCCTACAATGCAGGAGACCTGGGTTGGGGAAATCCCTCGGAGGAGGGCATGGCAACCCACTCCAGGATTCTTGCCTGTAGAATCCCATGGACAGAGGAGCCTGGCGGGCTACAGTCTATGGGGTCACAAAGAGTCGGACATGACTGAGCGACTAAGCACAGCAGAGTCTGCCACACCTCGTGTGTGAAAAGGAGAAGGGGCTCGGGGATCTGGTCTCTGAGGCCAGCGCCGGGGGACCAGAGGTTTTCTGGCTCACTTAGAGACAGTGAGCCCTTCCCTGAGAGGGCTGCCCTTTCTCCCTCCTTAATCTCCCCGCAGCTCTTGCTTAAGTGATCTTGGCATTATCATGTTCCAATCAACTCGCCAGATGAAGAGCAGCCAGAGTTGAGCTATTTATAACAGTATTTCAGACTGTGAGGATGGGGATAAAGCTCTCTTCTCTTGGGGTCTGGTAGGCAGTTATTTCAGGATATGCAGTGGGAGAGAGAGGCATTGGAAGGGGGCCAGCTTTGAGGCTGCAAGGGTGAATGGAAGAAATGTAGCAGAACTGCATCTTTGGGGTTCTTTATATCCACTAGGAATTAGTCTTTATATTAAGCCAACTCCTCTGGGTTTTGTGTAAGCCATTAGAACCCTCTCACATTCTCTCTCAGTTCCCATGTGTAGTTAATACAGGACAGATCCTTTAAGGAGTCAAACAGGTGGCCTGTGGTGATGGAGGTGTTGGTAGGAGACAGAAGCAAGCATGGGAATATGGGTCCTGAGAGGCAAGAGGCAGTTTGAATGGGCAGTCCCTTGGAAAGAGGCAACTCATGGGTCTTATAAAGTCAAAGGAGGGCCCAACAAGAATGGGTACCATCACTCTGTATTTAAGGTAAATGACAGGCACAGAACTTGCACTCGGATAGTCTCCCCTCACATCTAACCTTTCTTCCACATTTGTAAGCCCTTACCCCTCCTTTAGGTTTTCAGTGAATAATTTCTAAAATGTCTTTTCAACTTAGCCCTCCACGTGGGAGGAAGGGTGGAGGTCAGTGCTACTTACATTTTACCCGTAAAGGACCCTCTACACAACATTTTTCCAGATTAAAAAATCAAGATCCCTCATGGTGAATTACATCATTCTCTTAAAATGTTGCAGCAGCTGCACCAAAGGTTTTAAATCACACTCTTCCCCTTCTCCCTAACATACATAGAAACCACACAGAAACAAGCAGAAGAAAACGTCAAACTGGCAGCAGGAATTGCCTCTCCACAACTGCTACCTTTAAAGTACCTTTTATCACTTCTTTCTCAACAAGAAGGATGAATTACTTCTATAACACAAATGTTTTAACAATATATTAACAGATTTGTTTCTGTGTTGTGCTTAGTTTGCTCAGCTGTGTCTGACTCTTTGCACCCCCATGTAGCAAAGGCTATGTAGCCCGCCAGGCTCCTCTGTCCATGGGACTCTCCAGGCAAGAACCCTGGAGTGGGTTGCATGCCCTCCTCCAGGAGATCTTCCCAACCCAGGGATCAAACCCAGGTCTCCCACATTGCAGGTGGATTTTTTACCCTCTGAGGCACCAGAGAAGCCCATTAACAAATTAGGGTAAAGGCAAAAAAGCAGGGTCAGAAAATGTCACGGGGAAACGCTGGTGGGGTTCAAGGTCAAAAGCTGGGCTCGCTGCTGAGCCGTCGGGCCCTTCTGCCCCGCCCCCTTTCTCCCACAGCTGAGGCTTGTGAATAAATCCAAGGCAGTAAGCTCCCAGGTGAAACCAAGCAACTCTGACTGGGACTTGAATGAGCTTGTCTTTTAGTCAAAATTGCTCCAGGACTTACTGAAGCTCAGGTTCTCTGTTCGAAGAAAGAGTTCCGTGAGAGACAAAGTGATGGGGAAGAAGTGGATTTATTAAGAGAGATATATAGTCCACAGACAGAGCGTGCTCCGTCTCAAGGCCCCAGGATCTGGGATCATCTTGGAAAGTGAGAGCGGCCCTGGGAGAAACACACTGCAGAGACAGGAACCCAGACCGTCCCAAAAGGTAAGAGCACCCCTGGAGGATAGTTTTTGTGGGCTGTGGCATTTCATGTGCTAACTACAGTGGGAGGATTATTTCAACTCTTTGGGGAAGGAGCAGAGGTTTTCAGGATTTGGGCCACTGCCCACTTTTTGACCTTTTCTGGTTGGCCTCAGAGATGTTACAGTGTTGGTGGTGTGTTATTTAGCTTGTGCTATTACAGTGAGTACATAATGAGGCTCAAGATCTGTGGGGAGGTGAACCTTCCGCCATCTTGGGCCTAGTCGGTTTTAGCCAGTTTATGCCATATTTTCAAGGGCTGTGTAATTCTTTTAAAGGTTGTGCCCTGCCCACTTCCCTCCTGTTTCACAGGGGCCGTCTACTGGGCTCCTGTGGGCTGTTCTGGCCTCATTTTTTAAAAAAAAGGAGAATGCCTCCTTCTCCTTCATTAGAGGTTCCATCTGTACTGCTGGGATCTGCAGCT